GGAGATGGCAGACCCACCCTATAACAAGGATGAGACACTTAATCCGCATATTTGATAAATGGAGGGCATGAAAATTATACTCATGGTTTTTGTATGCTTAGCTGATCCTACTGCTGGCAGCCGAGGGATGAAATCACTGAAATCGTTGCAGCCGCCCTCAAGAACCCTGCGCGCTTCGTTCGGAGACTCGGAAGCATCATGCGAAGTTATGCGAACTACGCGCACTATATATGTCTGAGGAAGCACCCGTACAAGAAAGCCCTTCGGTACTACATGGAAACGGGCTTGGAGGGCCACTCCTTGTGCTGTGTCTGAATGCATTGAATTTCTTATTATAATTCTACCCATGCATGTTTCTTTCGGCCTCTGCCTACGCTAATGTTGTCAGGGAGGCCAATCGACTGCGGCAGCAAGATGGATTTGAGGGGGAAGGCTTCGCTTCCGAAATATCTCTCGAGGAGGACTTATCTGAGCTGTTGGAAGCCCCTGCTAGTCACTTGAGCGCAGCTAGCTTATGGCAGGTGAGTGGCTGGTGAGCATGCTGATGTTGCCCACATCTCCAAAATCATACCTTAGGTAGCAGACCAGACTCCCTGGTTGATGCAGCTGATGGTCTTTCCGGAATGGGCCATGCCAATGAGGAACTCTCAAAGGTTCTGAAAAGGCTAGGATATCCGGAGATCCAGGACGCAGCCAAACCGTCCTCGATGATTGATAAAGCTAAGGGGGCATGCCAGAAGAGAATGAGAAAGTTGGCTGAGTACCTCCCGGTGGGCCCGAATGGAAAGATATTGATGCCCTCGACAAGTGCGGCAAATGATTCCACCAACATGCAGGAATCCCTTGTTTGTCCAGCCATGCTGTTGATGGAGGAAATCTTGCGCCACTTGGGGCCTTAAATAACACGCAATAGTCTGTATATATAATGCTTTAACATAAAATTTGATGTGCAAGATTTCCTCCATCAACACTATATCCACCCGAACCTTCCAGGCTAGTAAAGTGTTATCAGGCTTTGTGGTCTATAACAAACCTGCAGGCATAAACTTACATGTGGGGCTCTTTTGTAAAGTGACCTGCCACGTAGCTGGGCTGAAACAAAGATGTGATTTGATCATGCAGTTCACATTATAAGCGCTAAGGATGCAAGACAAAATTCTGGCCAAGTACAATGATCTAGATGACTGCTGTGACCAGCTCGACGCCCTGAAGACAGAAACAGTGCTGGAAGGAAGCACGGATGAGTGGCTAAGCTGCAGACCCTGTACATTAATCCTAATTAAACATAACTTTATTGGGTATGTAATACACTACATACTTCCCCCCAGCTATGCAAAATCTTCAGATGCCCTTTATAACTTTATATCCAGCCTTCCCGGCCACAACACACCAAAGCTCGAGACCATTCAAGACCCATGATCTAGTCCGCAGTTTTCTATAAATCCTCAAACTGTGACTGTAAAGCTTCGTGGCATAATCCCCTAAATGCCCCTGATCGAAATGTAGCATATCTACTCTTAGAAAAACTACGGCAAACCCAATCCGTTCATAAACCCAAGCGATCCCTCTACATTGCTGTTCAGGATAGAGACTCGAGTCGACATCCTTCTTGGCAAGTGCCGCGAACTGCGCCTTAGAAGATTTATCGAGTTGACAAGTGCTCTTATTATCCCCTCCCACGCTCATGATGCTGCAGGGTCATCGAATCATCCGAGATGGAAACCCGGGCAAGGAGTGCATGTGCACCGGATTAAATTCTTAACACTCACCTTAAAGTCCATGATGGCAATGCTGTAGTGTTGCTGAAGTCTGCATGATGATTCTGCGCAGGACCGTGGTCACGAAAACTGCTGATTGCATTCCCCAGGCTAAGCAGCCTGGAAAGCCAAAAGCCCGAGCTAAAAATGCTGGCGGGCCACCTCCCAAGCGTGTCAAGAAGTAGGAGGCTGTCGCTCAGCCTGAGATGGAGTTTTGAAAGTGCGAGGCTGTCAGTTTCTTGATAGACTCAGGTTCTTTCAGAGTCACAGTGCAGCGCACAACACCTGCCCCGTTTACACCTGTAAGCCTATTAGGATATTGGGTGTTGATGACTGAAATGTTCTATTATTAGGGATATATACCCATTATAAAATGTGTATGCCATTGAAACTCGCTTCGAGAGGCAGCCTCCGCATTACCCTGCTGAGTTTTGGGTGCCTGCAGGGCCAAAATGAGCCAGCTTTCTACAGATTGACAGCCCATATATTGACACATTCCCTAAAGACCTCCTATGGGATCTGCAATGCCTGTGTAGATTTATCAGGAGATCTTAGTGCCTGAAGCTTACGTACTGACCCCAAAACTCATTAAACCTATCCAGGGTTCGTGGAATACACACTTCAGTTTGGTCCTCTGGACATGTTTTTTATTCAGATAGACTTGTACGATTCTTGCTGGGCCAGCTGTCTACTATCTCCATGCAAAAATAAATACACATGAATCAACGCATTTCGCCAGGCAAACTACCGCCTGCGCAGCATGCCCTGTCTGTTCTTGCTGAACGAGTGGCGGATGGTGTGCAATCCCTACACTTGCAATGTGCTTGCTGACTTCAACAATCAATACTGCTGAGTCCCTTTTCCCTCACATGATGCGCCCCTGATGTTTGCCAAGGCACCAGCATGCACTGTCGGGGAGCTGGCGCAAGCAGTTTTGGCTGATGGCAGTGTCATCCCAAGCCTCAAAGAGGCTTCCCGTGTTGATAAGAGCCATAGTGAGCGGAATGCGCACCGCCTGTTTTTTCGTTATGGCCTAGCCCTAAAGATCCCAATCAGTTCACTTCGGGTGGATGGGGCTGATGGAGCGGACCCATTGGATATCCCCTACTTGAAGATGACGGACTTCTTGCAATATCTGCTTAAGCACGCCGAGGAAGTCCTTTTTGGGGGCAAGAAAATGGGTGAGGAAACAAACGATCTATGCAGCACTTTCTGGCAACGTTTCCGTGGAGCGAACCCAGATCATGTTGTGTATTCTGAACTCAGCGAGGAAGAGAGATCCATGTGTGTGCCACTGTTTGTGCATGGTGATAAAGGCCGCACCCTGCAAAAGTCGCCCATATTCGTCTTATCTTTTGAGACACCTTGGGGAATGCCTGCCAAAATGTTGGAGCGTTGTGCGTATGACAACAAATGTGCTTCCAAGAAGCAATTTCGTGATGGCAAGCTGACTTGGCCATGCGCTAAAAGAGTGCTTGGCCAAAAACGCAAGTATGATGACTTGAGTTCATGCACCTTAGAATGCCCTGAAGGAGCCCATCAACGACACAATGCCAAAGGCCATTCCTTTTTGAGCAGATTCCTCATTTCTGCCGTGCCCTCGAAAGTCTATAGCCGAAATGAACAAGTTCTGCCCAGCCTCCTCAGGGAGGCAGCTACGGAGCTGAGGATTTTGTTTGAAGATGGCCTGGAGCATTCAGGCACTGGATGCCGAGTGCGATTTGCATTCATCGGTTCAAAGGGAGACGCTGAGTGGCACTTTGAAGCTGGCAACTTTAGCAGGAGCTACCACCACACTGGAACAGTCAATGAGCAAAAAATCTGCCCGCTATGTGATGCTGGCGCTCCTGGCGTCAGTTTCACAGATTGCCGCGATGAGCCAGCGTGGGCAGCGACCATTGCTGCAACAGATCCATGGGAGGCCACTCCCCCATTGAACTTCGCCCCCTACGCTTCTAGGTTTGCTGCCTCGATGTACAAATTTGACCCGTTTCATGTATTGAAATTTGGGGTCTTCCGTGACTGTATAGCGAGTACTGTAGTGCGGCTTTCATGCATGACCTACTTTGATTTTGCTGAAGATGACAAAGTCAGCATTGTTCGAAGGCTGGAGCGTGCCTACTCCATGTACAAGCTTTATTGTCTGGCTACGAACAAGAACCCTACCCTGAAGAAATTCACCAAATCCAACTTCAATTTTGAAAAGTATAGCTCATTTGCTTGGGTCAACTGCAAGGGCTCCGAAGCGACCCAGTTAATGTGTTGGCTCGATTTTCAGCTTGGAGAGATACTGAAGCATCCTCTGAAACGAGAGGAAGACAGGATCCCTCTCATGGCCATGAAGCAAACAATATCCGGGGGGCTGACTTACGTAGGAATCATGCATAGCCACGGTGTGTTTCTCCCCCGAAGCTGCGCTCAAGTTCAATTAGACGCCGGCCTATCTTTTCTGCGAGGTTACGCTTACCTTGCTGACTACTGCACGAGGATGGGAGTCACTGGCTTCCGACTACGTCCCAAATTGCACTACCTGCACCATCTATTGTATAAGACACAACAACAGTTGCAGTCGGGATCAGAGTTTGTCCTATCATCTTCGACTTACCTTTGCGAACAGAATGAAGATTTTATAGGAAGGATATCAAGAGTAAGTCGGAGAGTTGCAGCCCGTACTGCTGGCATGCGAACGATACAGAGATACCTTGTGAAGGTTAAGTGTCTTCTGAAGCGACTGTTGCCTGAATGAAAAATGGATGAAATCAACCTGTGCCGCGCCTACTTCTGCCATCAAGCGTGGCCCTTGCTGATGTTTGCCCCATCAAAATGTAGCATTCTCGGATTATCTTAGGGGCCCCCAAACTGAGAAATTACACTTTTACGGGAATATTACCTTTTTTCCCGGACCATTGCGCTTTTTCGTACATGAACTGAATATGCCTGAAATTCTGCAGGGTTGGGTTCTCTAGGTAGTAGTCGTCGTCGTCGTCGTCGTCGTCGTCGTCGTCGGGGAACCCAGGATAAGGCTGGCGAGGTTTGATGGTCTAGGGTCAGGCCAGCTTTGAACTCGATGGTGACTTTAATCCACCCCAAAACCCTAAGCCTCAAATTCCGAAACGTAAACCCTGTAAACCCTAAATTTATTTTGCCATTTGATTTTCCACTTGATTCTCCATTACCCTCAGACCAACACCTCCCAAGGGTCTTAAACTCCTGGGATCCTAGCCCGCAATTCTCCGCCCTGTCCTCTTTGAAGGGTGGTATCTCGCCGTGCTGCTCGTGAGCCACCAGCATATCCTGAAACGGTTTGCGCTCATGGAACCGCGAACCCTAGGGTTTAGGGCTCAGGGTTTAGGGCCTGGGGTTTGGGAGGTCTATAGGGGCTTGGGGGCCAATAATGGCGAATCAAATGGACAAGACAATTGAACACATGGAAGCTAACAACTGTGTTCAGGGGTCTCTCGAAAGGGGTTGTCTGTATAGAGGCTTCGGGGCTTGACGTTTGCGATAGTGTTAGGATTTCAGGTCAGTGTCTTTGCAATGTTTGCGCTTTGAGGTTTAGGGTATAAATCTCGGAGACTCTCGTTCTCTGCAATAAGCAGCTTGTAGCATGCATCTGGATCTACTGGTTTGCCAGACCCAAGACCCTAAACCTTCAGAGGCGAAGAACCTCAATCGCGCTTGGTATTGCGGGGCCCTGTGCAACTGTGAGATGCGGGTTGCCTCATGGCTTAATTCCCTAAGGGTCCAAGTGTCCAATGATTGGGTACTTGGGGTTTGGGTAATAGTAATAGTAGTACAGGTTTGGAAAGGTATATGAATATTAGGTACTTAGTCCGTTAGGGATTACTTGCCCTAAACCATGCCTACAAGGCATCCTGCTCTGAACGAGAAAGTCGCGTAGATTAGCCTACGGCCTAAGCACGGAACCCCAAACCCTAAGACTCAAAGTGAATCCACGCCAAACGCTGAACGGGCGCGTTTTGGATAGAGGTCCGAGCCGTAACTGGCCTCACCCAAACACCCGAGAACCTTACATAGAAGCTCATATGTTAGAGACTCGAATATGGGCACCCAAACTATACCAAACGAAGGAAATTTTCATCTGGGGATTCAAGCGTGGACCGTTGGAGCCTCTCGAGGGCATAGGAGGTACAGTCAATACTTCCCAGATAATTAATGGATATGGGTCCTTTTTAGGAACTATGATTAGGTCTATAATTCACAAGAGGGACACCTATGTCCACTGTTCAAGGTCCCTTAATGAGGTTAGTACTGGCAAAAGCTCATATATGGAGCAGGAGGACACGCCAGAAGGACGGCCAAGAACTCAAAATCCTAAACCATAAGCACTAAACCCCA